TTGTTCATGACAAAGGTGTTAATAATGCCCCCCCAAGGTTTTTGTGTTAACACATGAGCTTCCACTTAACAAATCTATATTTCTTATGGTTATTCGCCGCATTCCAATAAAACCACTATGATGTTTGTTAAACATGAAGTGATTACTTTGCAAGAGACGATAGAAGCCCACAATGTACATATGTAAACTAGATACACAAATGTTAATAAGCACGACTTTACCGGCCAAGGATTTGCATTTGCCTCTTCAAGGGCGACTCTAGATCCAACTTTTTGCTCAATGGGGATAAAATAGGAGGCACAGAGTTTGAACGAAGAGATAGGAATCCCCAGGTAGTTAATAGTGAAGGATCCCAGTTTGCAATTAAGAAACTTTGCAATAAAAACTTGTTCCAAAGGGGACCAACCCAGGGTCATGATCTGACTCTTGTTGAGATTAATTTTGAAGCCGGACAAGGCCTCAAAACAAAGCAAGATGAAATTGAGGTCTACCATTTGAAGGTCATATTTTTTGATTAGGACAATCATGTTATCAACATATTGTAGGTGCAAAATCCGATAGGGTAAAGCTATGAGGCCGCCCCAGAGATGTGGCCGATAGAGGAGACACATTTAGGAATGAGGGACTGCTCGTCCGCTACAAACTTAAAGAACAAAGTGGAGAAAGGATGACCTTGGTGAAAGCCTCTACTGTTTGTAAAAATAGAGTCCAACAACCCCATTGACACACATTGCCATTTGGCCCCACTAACCAAACTCATAATGAGATGAACATAGTTTGAATCAAAACACTTTGCAACGAGGACCTCATGTAGGAAGGACCACTGAACACAACCTTACACCTTCTCAAAGTCACTTTGAGGACAATAGCTTCAATTCCCCCAGACTGAAGCTCGTGAATAATCTCATGAAGATAGAGGGATCCCATCCATGAAAAAACAAACCTTTGAAAAAAGTGGTTTGGGTACTACTAATCAAGCAGTGGGCTATTGAGAGAGCCTAATGGCAAAACAGTTCCCATGAAACTTATAAAAATAGTTAATAAGAGCTACATGCCAAACTAAATGTATATTATCACCATCCTTAACCTTAGGGATAAGGGAAAGGATGGGGTAGTTCAAACGTTTCAGGAAGGACATGGAGTTTCTGATTTCAATCTCACGTGCAGCCCCATGAACAGTAAGATCAAAAATATATAAAAGGTTTCAAAAAAGTCAGCTCTTTTTGTAACCAAACATTCTTGAATGTTCTACGTATGTGCAAATTTTCATGAATAAAAGAAATTGTATGCTCTAGGAGAAAGAAAAATACAAAATCGATGCTCAAAAAGACTTTGTGAGAAACAAATTGAGAACCAATGTCTTTTCCTCTAGAGCTTTAGGAATGTTTTCCTTCATGAACATTTGCAGAACATCCAACAATGTTTCTTTGTAAAAATTAGTTTTTTTAATTATTTTACTTTTTTTTAGTATTTTACCGTTCTTGAGGGTGCATCTAAGCTCAGGTTCAGAACAACACTTTTGTTTTAGGATCTATGTTTTAGCTGCTTGCACTCAAAGTTTTGATCTAATTAAGTGCTATGTATTAGGAGTTCGCTATAGTACTATGTTAGGATGGTTTATTGTAGTTGTATGGATGCTATTTTCAATTGGCTATTAACTTAGCAATGCCTATATATGTACGATATTAAATTTAGAAAGTAAATATGTTGTTCATTTTGTATGAATAGGGAACAAATACATATCACTGCTATTGTGACCTTTTCGCAAAACACTTTTTCTATAAGAGTGTTTGTGCGGTGCACCTAAAATGACATATTTGTGATGTCGCTCTATTTTTGGTGTACTACACAAAAGGAAGGAAGTACTATATGAGTTCCCAACCTCGAATGGAGATATGAAGTTTATTTTTCAAGTGGGTAGAAGGACTCATTGGAATGTGAAATATGTAACGTTGGATTTGTTGACATTGCTATACTCCTCTCTCACCATCATTGCAGATTCTTCGACATCAATACTATTCTCAAAAACCAAATAAGCTACACATTTGGACATATGACATTGTGTGTATCAAATGTAATGCAATTTTGTTGGGTGTGCTTATATATTGTGTATGCGTCCACTACTTTGTGTTGTAGTGCATCTTCGAACTGCACTGCTAGCAATGTATCCTAAAATTGCCTTAACAAAAAAAAATTCATCACTGGTCGGTCTTTTTTTTAAAGCGCGAAGTAAAGAACTTTCTACCCTGCCTAGATGAAAATCAACAGCGAGAGGCCTTCTGGTCTAGATGACGAACATTGCAGATGAGCCAGCTGAACTATCTATGATGACTTCGTCATCATTGTACAGGAGGCACCGACGGGGCGCTGACGAGTCAGTGATGAACTTATTATAGCCAGTGCTATGTTGCTCTGCAGTAGTGGCTTTGTTTACTTAATACTTTGATATTCCCTCCATTTCTTTTTAGGCAGCATTAGCTTTTGTCTGAAGTCAAAGTGTCTCTAGTTTGACAGAACTTATAGAAAAAAGTATCAACGTTTACATTGCTAAAGTAATATATTTAGATTCATTATGGATTGTAGTTTCATATTATGTATATTTGATATTGTAGATGTTGATATTTTTTATACAAATTTGGTCAAAGTTTGTAAAGTTTTACTCGAACAAATCTTATATGCGGAGTAAAAAGGAATGGAGGTGTACTGGATTATTAGCTATAGATGTAGTTGGATAACGGAATACAGATAATCATGACATGTATAATCATAATTGTAAACATTGCATTTAATCGATACAGAACTGTAATTTATTCACCGTACCTTTGCTATGTTTTTTGGAGAGATGCCAAAAGTGAAGTTATGAATCCAGTCCTCTATTCCTCATAAATACAACCTGAATGAAACTCTATTATTGTTCTTTACAATCTGAATTGATTCATTTATTTGCTTACAACCATCATTTTCTACCACACTAGTTAATCCTTATTACTAGTAAGGCTAGTGAGGCTGACAATCTAACTAGTATAGTTGGGGACCAAGAAGAAATTTCTTGTTTCGTGCAGGAGCCGATCATCGGCTTTTATTCAAGCGCTCCTGTGGGTCAATAACCTTGTTTCTCAACTAAGTAAAATACTTGCTTACTTCCTACAAACCCTTCCTCTTGGGGGCTCAAGCCGCTCAACACATTCATGTGGCCGAAATCAACGTCATCTCCGTTGATTCATCGATCTTGGTGATGACGACTCCGACAATGTGCCTGAGGTGGTGTAGCTTTCCATGGTCAAGAAGGAGAAGGTGGAGGTAGAGGAAGAAGAGGAGGGGGTCGAGGGAGAGGACGAGGATGGGCCGATGGCCGAGGAAGCCGAGGACAAGGCGGCGCCGCCGACCACATCCTCCTCCCCCTCTTGTAGGAGGAGGCGGAGTGGGAGTACGATAAGGCACTGCTCGAGGAGGAGGACCATCGGGTGACTAAAGCTCAGCTCGTGGCGGAGCATGCCAATGCCACCGCCAGGTTCGGCGCTGAGCTAAAGGTGATGGAGGTCGAGCTCTCTTTCGAGCGCTTCATCGCCGACGAGCGCGAGGTGGTCGTGAATCAGTGTGTCTAGGCCGAGGTGGATCGACAGCGGGACACACTCTCAGAGAGCTCGCTGTTGGTGACTCATACGACCCTGGCGATGCGCCGGTGCCATGCCAGGGGCCCTGGCGCCGATGCATCTCGCTTCGGCAAAGCCATGCGTGGTCTACCTCGAGTCCGATAAGGATTAGTACGTTTTAGCTCTAAAGTAGCTGGTTTTAAATCTAAGGAAGTGGTATCTACTTTAGTTGTGTTGTTTAGTCATGAAGTATTATGTATAATTAATCATTATATGGTCTTAATCTAGTCTTAGTTTGAGTTTTATATGAGTTGTTTGTGCACAATTTGATTTTGAGGAGTTAAGTTTGAGGGGTCTGTTAGCTCCACATTTTTGTTAACAATATGAGTTGTTTGGGTAATTTCTTGTTGCATGTTTTCATCGCATATAGGGATGCATACTAGTACATGTTTGTAAAGTGTTCATGGTGAAGTTCTGATGTGAGGTACACATAAAATAAAAAAAATTATAGAATTCTAGGATAAAACTTTGAAAACATGAAGTATACATCCCAATGATGTCTGTCTTATTTTTCAGCATTTTTGAAACCTAAAAAGTTGATTTTTGAAAATTTCAGACTACATAGAGAAAAAAAAACTCAGCTGCTAAGTATGTTTTTTGTTATTTTTTTCAAGTATTATGTGATGCTGAAGTGCTGAACCACCTTTAGTCCAAAGCCTGGTTATGCTTTACAAAAAAATTGAGATAAGATCTAATTAATACAAAACTTTCACTGTTCATGATCAAGGCCAAAGGAACAAGATAATTGAAGTTTTGAGAATAATAAAGTTCTAACAACTTAACGTGGTTCGCCAACAGCAATTTCGATTTTTAGCCATACTTTTTATACAGGCAGGCAAATTTAACAAACGCGTGACTGCAGACACATTTCATGTAGTCAATTTAGCAAACTCTGCAAACTACTTGGCAGTCACCACGTTCAAAAAAAAAAGGCAGCCATGAAAGTTGTGACTTGCCGCCGAAAGATGGTAAGAGTAGAGTCTCAAAAGAGTACGTCGGACCGTTGTTTGCTGTGCCGAAAGTAGAAATTTCAAAGAGAGTATAAACGATTGATTGCATATCGGAGAGTATAAATGCAATATTCGACAAGAGAACTGGTTCTCATGTTATTGAGTAGGCACACACAATCATCACATGTGTTTATTCACGGAGGTAGGTGAACAAGTACTAGCACCACCAGCCTTTCTCGAGAGAGAAAACACATTGACCAAGACACGACGATAGCATTATACATACTGTTGGCCGTATAGCACGACCCACACACAAGCATAGGCACCATGACTGCTCATCTCATCTGAGCTTTATTTTAGGCGGCACACCTCGTCTGAGCCTGAAGCCCTGAACGGATCAGTGCTTTTTGCATGGCCCGCCGCAGGTGCCGTCGACGGTGCTCTTCATGTCGGCGCACCGGAACGTCTTGTGAGGGCTGGGCGTCACCACGCGGCAGGCCGAGCAGCCCTTGGGGCACTGGGGGTGGGCGTCGTCGCAGACGTCGACCCCCGAGAAGGACCTGCAACTGTTGCAGCACTTGGGGAAATAGTCGGCTGCACGCACGCAAGACACCGACGGCATCAGAATCAGATAATATGTCACTCATAAGACGAGACGAGAACCCTCCCCTTCCCTCTGGGCATCACGAAATGATCGAGCTTTGTTTAGGAAGAGGTGAAATGATTGAGCATCAGCAGCTTACCGTTCACGTGTGAGAGGATCCCCATGACCAGGACGGCCTGGAGGATCAGGATCGCCGCGAGCTTGGTGCTCTTCATGGTTGCTAATGAGCCCTTAGCGCAAAGCTCCCACTTCACCTGGTGCGGTCGGTCTAGTGGTAGAATGCTTTCTGCTGTTGTAGTGGTGTGGCTGGCTAAAGCTGCGAGCAGCTCTATATATAGGCGCCGATTTCGTAAAAGTTGATTGGCAAGCGGCCTCGGCTGCGATGCTGCGATCGCTATGTCCATTATCTGGTTAGTTGGGGGATAAAGATGTTTGACTACTAGCAGCTGGCTTGGAAACTTGGACTCGTTTTCCAGGGTTTTTTATAGGCGGCGTGGATTGTTTGACATGGACACCACCCATGTCCAGCAAAACCAGATCACGTGCACACTGATTTAGGCCACGACAGCAGAGATTGTTTTCATACCACTCGGGAGTATATAAGGTACATCAGCCTTCCCGTAATGATGACTAGGACTCCCTTTGTAAACTATTATAAGGACATTTAGAATACTAAAATGATGATCTAAATGTTTTTATATTAGTTTACAAGAGGGAGTCGTATATGTCATATAAAAAAAGGTTGAGTATCATATAATGATACCGTATCATAATAAATACTATGCTACCATGTATCATGCATAACAATAAATAAAGTCATCTAGAATACTACTGTATGCATTGTGGAGGTAATATCAGACACAAATATCATATACACTATACTAACTTACGATACTACCACTAAGGACAATCTCATTGGTCCGGGTCTGTCTCTGAAAAAAAAGCATAGTATTTCGAACTCGGCGCCCCAGGATTCACACTGCCAGACCATGGATAAGTTTCTGAAAATCGATAAAAATGGTCCTTTTCACAAAGTTCAGCAAAAAAACGATTTAAAATTATTTCATAAAATGGGTTGTTTTCATGACGCTCGGCTCTGGGCGCCATGACCGACGCCGTAGACAAGCTTCAAAATAATGAATATTTGTTCTACTTCTCTCTACCAGCCACCCGTCACTTCCCCAGCCCATTTGCACACTCTCGTTGTTCCGACGCAACTTGCAGAAATAGAAAAATGCTCTTTTGGGAGTAGCAGATTCTTTTTTCCGAGAGTACGCAAAGTGTGCACCTTAACTTTATAGAAGAGAGAAGGTTATACACAAGAAATACAAACAATATGCACCGCCACACACGGCAGGCACATCCACCCCACCACTCCACACACTAGGCTACTACTCTATACCATATTGCTCTCCTCTTCCTCGCGCCGATGCCCATAGCATGATCTCTTGATGAGTTAGATCGGCCGCCCCCCACTCATTGACGATGTTGTTGTTGTGAAATACCTTGTCATTCCTCGGTTTCCAAAGGTTCCAACAGACGGATGTGCAGAGTGTATCGAAACCTCTCAAGTATCTCTTGTCGATGCGTTTTCTCGCAGCCACCCACCAATCTCCTAATGTGTCTTCCGTGGTTGGTAGCAATGCTATGTCGATATGTCCATCTTCTTGAAGCACAAAAATCACACTTGTCTCGCGTAAACACATTGCAGGAGGATATGATCCACCTTGTCTTCCTCCTGGTCGCATAGGAAGCAAGACGAGTTGTGGTCTTGCAGTCCATGTCTCTGCCGGCGATCCGATGTCCATACCCTATATTGAAGGGCAAGCCACATGAAGAGTTTACAGGTGAGCATGGAGGAGCATATCTTGGGTCGCTAGGTAATAACTCAGGATGGCCGTCTCGCTCATATGGCAGAAAATGGCCATATCTGACCTCTTCTTTCTCGTACATAGCGCAAAATGATCGAAAGATAATGGCTATTTTACTACACAGATCTGGGTTTTTTTTAAACTTATATTTTGTAGACAATCCTAAAGAGACTAGGAAATAGACATGTTCCCGGTAGTTATCTGGGAAACATTGAGGTTATATGGGTAATAGGCTTAGAAGAGAATGACAATCTTGCTAAATTGTGCCAAAATTTGGTAAAAAAGTGTTTAGCTTACTCTTTTTCTGTGGGAAAAGTGTTAGGCTTGCTAGCTAATCATTAACTTTGAACCTACCCTTCATTTTCTTTCTAGATCTGTCACTGATCTGCGCTAACTTGCCACATCGGCTTGCCCTGGAAGCATCCTGAATGAGAGAGACATGTTGATAATCACAACGCCCCAGTTCAGGGCGCCATGCCTCTTCGTGGAACTAAACGGTCAGCCCTTACTCTTTTTCCCAAACCCTCTCTTTTCTTCTCTCCACCCCGGCCGAATCGCTCTCACCGCTCCCTAATGCCACTAAATTAAGCGAATCAAAGCTTCAAACCCATGAATTATCTTCCCCCTTGATGTTGAGAATATGCTCCACCTGCTGGTCCATTTTCTCTTGCATGTCCACTTCTCCGTCCGATTCTGACGAATCGAAAAACTCATCTTGAATTAGTTTATCAAGCTCTGTCGGTCCATACTCCTCGTCCGACAAAGTATCAAAATTCGTCGTCTTCCCTACGAATAAATCACAAAAAACTGTGTCAGACAATGTGTCGAACCCATAGAGTGCAGGGTCAGCCCCGAGAGTTACCGGACGTACCGCGGTGGCGTCCGGGCCGGCGACGTTGTCCGTGGCGACGAGCACGGGGGAGAGGACTGGTGTCTCGGTCCTGGCGGCGCTGAGACTCGAAACATCTGTGAAGCAAGGGTGGTGGCAGAGCTGGAAGACGTCTGGCACGGTTGAAAAAGGATATGAGAGAGCAAATAAATTCGATAGGTCGATGGGATAGATTTGGTCAATTTGTGCTGGGTAGACTTGTCGAGTCCGAGTGAATGGCCCTCCTCTTCACGTGCTGGTGCCGACGGGACAGCGAGGGATGGATCTGGGTCACCGATTCGCTGCACCGTCTTCAAACATGCTGCATGACCGACACTGTGAGCGCGCAGCTCAGTGTTTACATGCCCTGGTGAACGGTGATATTGCTCAAGTCATACCTAAGAGAGATCTACCTTAGTACTAGTATATTTGCATCTCCATGTTAGCTAACTAGCGACCAACAAGCTAGACGAGATCACGAGATGCGTATCCTGCTATATAACGTCCGTGATGCATGCTGCATGCATATTCGCGAGATGTAATGGAGTACTAGCATGTTCCATACCCGACAAGATGAGATCGGCATGCATGCATGCTTAAATATCTTTTTTTTAGAAAAAGGAGGAAGACCCCGGCCTCTGCATCTGGACGATGCATGCAATCATTTTATTAATTATTCACACAAGACCTTACAAAGTTATATAACACTAAGACTAAAGCTACCGTCTAGACAACAACTGTCGTTACTCCTATCCAGTTGATGAAGGAATGCTGATAATCTGGGCCTAATACCAAACAAAACTCGCAACCAAACCTAACATTTAAGACCTGAGGTCCCAACCAGGACACCTGCCGGGTATGAGCACCCACAAGTCCGGCGCACTCCTCAGCCAGGACGCCTGCCGGGTATGAGGCCGCCGTCGCCACCTGCTGCCAATCCATCTTCAGTGTTGTACTGCTGCATCAACCTTGCTAGGCTTGCCGTCGACGCCACCACGACGCCAGACAACGCCACCATCCTGTGCGTGTCCATCCACGCGCGCCCATCGCCGAAACTCCGCAGCGCCATGCCGCCGTGATCCGTCGCCGGCCTTGCGGTAGATGTAACACCGCTCCTCCTCTTGCCACCTCCATCCATCACTTGCTCCAAAACGATGCCCCCAGGAGGGAATGTGATACAGAGAACACCATCATCGTCTGATCCGGAAGACCCAGATCTAAGGTTTCCCCCGGAGCATCCCGAGCCTGATGGCGCAAACTGCAACGACGATGCCTTGACAAGGAAACGACATCAAAGACGCCGCCATCGTCCGTCATGACCGTAGTCAACGCGATTTTCATCGGCACTTGCACCACCGGGCGTGCGCCATCGGCGTCGCTGGTCCCTTCAACCATAGCAAACTCCAAAACGATGCCCTGAAGAGGGACTACGACGCAAAAACACCGCCATCGCTCGATCCCAAGGAGATCTAGGGTTTCCCCGGAGTTGCCCGCACCGTCAAGGACCAAACAAGGATGGAATCTGCAGATCCGTAAAGCTGCCGACATGCCACACCTGCCATCGCCCGCGACCCGGAGACCAAGCCCACGCCTGGGCCCTGATCCGGCCGCGCCGCCACCGATCCGGTCGCGCCGCTGCCGTCCCTAACGACCGCGACGCCCCAGACCTTGAAGCCGCCTGCCGTGGAGGTATGGAATCACCGGAGAGCCGCCATTCCCTGCCGTGACGTCCGGCCGAACACCACGCTCCGGCCCGGGGGCGCCGGCCCGCGCCAGCCCCTCACGAGTGGGAGGGCCCCGAGTCCCCGCCGCCGCCGGCGATGGCAAGGCTTCGCCCTGCCGCGCCCTCAGGCGGCGGCGAGGGAGGAGGAAGAGGAGAAGGGGAGGTCGGGCGATTGGATCTGGGAGCCTCCCGGCCGCCACACAGGGGCGGCTCGGGAGGAGGCAGGAGCGTATCGTGACTCAGGAGGTGTAGATGCTTAAATATCATACCCCTGACTTGCGTAATTACTCCCTCCATTTCTAAATATTTGTCATTTTACAGATTTTAAGAAATGACTACATACGGAGCAAAAATGAGTGAATCTACACTCTAAAATATGTCTATATATATCCATATCTGTAATAAGACAAATATTTGGGAACGAACAAAGTTTTTTTTGGGGTGACTTGCGTAAATTAATGATCCCGACACGCACCAAGTGTGACGACCGTACGTACGCTTGAGCACCGAGAAGGATCCATTCACCATTTGAACTGGACAGTACAATATATTTGTGCTATCTTAACAAATATATTGACACAAATAAACATTGACACAAATAAACTGATTTTTATTTGATTGAGCAGAGACGCAATACACTGACACACAAGTACTCCATCCGTCCCATAATATAAGACGTTTTTTGATACTACACTAGTGCCAAAAAATGTCTTACATTATGAAACGAAGGGAATATGTGTTTATTCAGGGAGCAACGACCACAGCTTTTGTTGGAGAGAGATAAAAGCATAACGACGACGATGACAACAACAATTGTTGTTGGGCATGGAACACGTGTACGTACAACCACAACGGCTCTGCTCAACCCATCCGAGCTTTTATTCTCGGTGCAACATCTTATGTTCTGAGCATGTGCTATCAGTGCTTCTTGCAGGGCTTGCA